CGAACTAGGGTTGGAAAGCTGATCGATAGAATCCTTATCTGTAAATGTTGATGGTTAGTTTTATGGACCGATATTTTTTTTTTTTTTCATTGTTATGATTCAAAACATATTTGAAGCCCTAACAAAAAAAAACCAACTAATTTAATAAAATAATCAAAGTAAACGTTGGTGTTGTATCAGTCCAAAAGAGGCCCGATGAATAGGTCTGAAGCAACAGTTAGAAGAATATATTGCAAGCTACAAAGTATGGATGGAGCCCGTGGAATATAGTGATGGGCTCGTATTAAGCACACTACCATAAAACCCAGCAAAGGCCCAGTCGATGAACTATGCGATTGGGCTGAATTAAACAGTTAACGGAATTACTTGCGAGTTGCACACTGAAGAAGAGCTCGCAAATAACAGGTTGAATCAGTCAAGCCGGAGATCTCGGAATGCATGCTAAAAATCCAGGATCATGAAGAGAACGTGCTATACGAATATAGGAGCGGTTGAACTTGATTGATCGCCTATATAAAGAGAGAAGAAGTTTTCTTCGAGGCCAAGTCTAATCACAATCACTTTTACCCTAAAAAATCACCTAAAACTAAATACTGCAAGCTGCGCTCTGCTGTTCTTCTTTTTCCATCTCATAAATTCTTTGTATTAATCTTGACTCTTGGATCATACTAATACAAATCCATCTCGTTTATCTCAATCTTTATTTATCTAAGATTCATACGAATATCCAGACCTTAATTTCCTATCATTAATATCAAATTCTTGGTTATGGATTTTCGGATCCACAATTTGGTGCTAGAAGGAGGGGGATTATAGATTTTCTTACTCAGTAATCTCATATCAGATTGTTGGAAAGACGAAATGGATCAAACCCCAACAAACTCGCCGAGATCTGTCCCCACCGTTCAGATTTCTAGCACGATGGTTCAGCTCGAGGCCTTCTTCGAGGCCAAGTCTAATCACAATCACTAGAATAGATTTTTGTGTAATCCTTTATATAATAACTAGAATAGGATCCAAGTTAATACGCGAG